TCAAGGTTTAGTTTAGCTTTTCTGAAAATAAGAATAATCAAACGCAAAGTAGCTTTTATATTTGGGATTAGACTAACTTTATATTGACCCCAAGTAAGGAATCTATAACTTAAAAAAGTTATCTGGAAAAATGTGATACTAAGTGATCCATAAATATTAATGTTAGCAAGCTGCTTTATAGCGGCTTAGCGCAATTTCTTCTAAGGTACATAAATTAAAGAAGTTGTGGCGCTGAATGTGCTCTTACTGAAATTTCAGCTTAGCAATCTACTGAACACAACATTAGGGGTATTTCCAGTAGGCAGTACGTGAACTTAAAATCCATGTAAAAGTAAAAATGATTGTGCCTTTTTAATAGAAAATAAACACAAGTGTGGTACACACACAAAATCCTCAGAAAAGGCAAAACAAAACAACAGAATGGCACCAGCTGTTACTCTGCATAATTTAAGATACAATAGTAATATAACTATGGGGGTTTTTCAATTATTTTAATTTCATTAACATGATATGTTTGAAACAGGGCTGACAAGCAGTCTAGAATACTAGATGATGGATTGCTGAGAAACATAATTTTCACTTTAATAGAACTACGGCATGCACATAATTCTAACCCCCAGTGCTTTGCTGTAACAGCGAATTTAGTCCAAAACTACAGCCTTGAGAATCTGAATACAAATCCATCACAATAACTGGAATGAGTGCTTCATTTGAAAGGTAAGGATTCTCTCTGCGTATTAATTTGTACAGAAATGTACAGTACCGCTGCACGGACTCTGGCCAGCATGCATCCCAGCAAAATGCCTGTTCTTGGTCCAGATGAAGTCAAAGGCAATGTTTTCTTTGACTTCAGTTGAGGCACAAAAAGGCCAATAAATACCCAAATGGTACTTTATTAAAATGACATGCACACTTTCCAGTAGTGCCAGTTAACTGTGTCCATTTAAGGGGAAAATCAGTAACACAGGTTTAGCATTTTGTAATTACTAATGAACGCCCTGCTGTATATATATTTTGCTCATCCCTGTAAAAAAACCTAACATATGAAAAAGCATTTCTTCCAGAAAAGCAAAACTTAAATTAAGTCACGTTAAAATAAAGTGAGATAATATATTTGACATTCTTGGGCTATTCCAAGAAAAAAAACCTATTTGACTTCTGACAAAAAAAAATTGACTCTTTATCAGAACGAAGAAAAGGAAACTGTAAGATTCTATCCTTTGTTACGTCTGTCAGTAAAAGTTTTTTTCATCTGAACTGCATTTGCAGGGGAAAAGACCATTTATGATTTAGCTGTTTCCAGACTTCACAGTTTAAAGTTTGGAGACTGAAAAACTTCAGCTACTAAAATGTATAAGTCTTTTAAACTTCTGTATTTTATTCTAATAGAACTTAAGTGTATACCGTATACATTCCTTAAGTCTACTCTTATTAAATTTTGATGTTAAACAGAAAGGGGAAACCATGTGCAACTAGATTAATTTATCTCCAGGGAGTAAGGACACATTAATAATTGAGATAATGTTTTCATATATGTTGGAATCAAGTGTGCCTTTTCACTTCTTTATTAGAAAACACATTAGGGGAAAATTATCTCATTCTCATCAGTAAGACCTAATTGCTGAGAAAGTCTCTGTTTTCTTTTCAATAACAAAAGGATTGTTCGCATTACTTCAAAATGAAAAAAAAAAAGAAAAAAAAAGATCAGAAATATTATCAAGCAGTGCTGGAATAAATGCCTGTATTACCAAAGAGAGTGTTTACTTAATACACCCAGTCCTGTTTTTGTTTTAAATAAATCAGAGTTTATTGTATTTTCATAAAATACAAGCAAACGCTGGATTGGATAGAAGTGGGCCAAAGGGGAAAAAAAAAGAACCACAACTAAAAATGACTAATATTTTTGGCTTTCTGAAGGGCTGATCTTTCTGTAAGTTATAAAAAATTATCTTGGCTGATTGTGAGAGAACTCTATAATTTCCCATGAACGCCCATAGGTGTCAAGGCCTGTTGTGAGGTAATGGAATGGTATGTAATTTACTCTGAATCGCTGTACATTATGCTGTATGGATTACATACAAAGCAAACACTGAGTGCATGATGGGAACACTTGTGCAGACAGACTGAAGCATATTTCCATAGCGTTGAACTATACATCAAATGCAGTGCTTCTGATGTTTCCCACAACAAAGAGAATTTTAAAAGCCGCCAAATCAGTAACTATGCTTAAAAGTCTTTGCCATAGCCCTTCTATTTATCTGGTGTACTCTAAAAACAAAGAACTGTAAACAAAAACAAATATCTACCAACTTTACTTTGCAGTGCTGAGAGAAAAAATATTAGAATGCTATTTATGGTACTGAGAAAGAGAAGTTCTCTCTATAAGGTCCATCAAGACCTAATGCTGAATAAATCATCTGTGGACTTACTTGTATTTGCAGCTATCTTGAAAAGATCAATGGAAAAGAATTGACTAGAGCCACAACTTTATAAAAGGACAATGATGAGACAATGTGTACAGTGATTTAATCCACACTCCTATACCACGTAGACTAAAAGAATACAGACTATTCAGATACTTTCTTTCAATTGCTTTTATTTATTTTCCTAGATCAGCTTTGTAAAATCACACACACTTTCTGATTACTTTCTTTTGCTATACTTTTTGTTTATTAAACATTAGTTCTCTGATAGATAAAACATACCAAATTGAAAGTCAAAACAAATGAGAAACGGCCAAAACTTTTAGCTAGAGCTTAGAGTATGTGATTCGTTCTTTGCTAACAATTTTTGCCATTAACAGAAAAAATCCAAGACCATGAGCTGCCCACAATACGTCCCCCAAAAAACTAAATTTAATTATTATTTTTAAGATAATTCACTTAAAATACACACACTCATTTTGCTAGCCCACAGGAAATCTGTGTTGTGTGTTAAGAACAGAAGAGCAAACCCACACAAAAACTCAGCTGACACCCATCGATGGCCTGAATGCAGCACATACGTCAGTACTATTTCTTATTTTTATTTAACATCTTTTTCTTCTTTGCTTTTGGCTTTCCCCCCTTCTTTCATTGCTTTAAAACAATTTTTAAGTTCATCTGAAATTAGACTAAAAAATTTTTGCCCATTTAAAAAAGATATTATCAATATTTACAATTCTGCTTCCATAAAACTGATTCATGTCTTAAAAAAAAATTTAATTGATAACGTAAATATTTAAGGATAATGTAAAATTCCCTAACTCCATTTATTTTAGCTAAATTCCAATGTTGTATGTAACTTGATGATCTGGCAAGCTTATTTTATTATTTTATTATTTTATATTTTGTTAATTAGCATAGTCTAAACAACAAACTCTTAACAATGAAAATAAAGCCTCCAACATCATTATAGAGTGTTCCATAAAAAAATATTTGATTAACAATATATCCTAAAATGCTCTCGTTATAATCACTGGGCTTTGGTAGGAATAGATTTAAGTCCGATTTATTAATGTCTGCTATACAAGAGAAATTCCATCCCCACTGAAGGCAGCAACAAAACTCCCAACGATTGCAAGTCATCCAGTTTGACTGAGTACATTTAGGTGTGTTCTGAGACTGATCTTTTACTCTTTAAAGTGAAAATCTCCCTCTTGCCACAATGACTCTTCCAGGTAAATACTTTGAGACAAAGACCCTGACGTGTTATTTACTATTTGTTTGCGTATAGGAAATGCGTAGGAGGTCCTACTCATAGAAAGAAGTCACACATATTAGATAGTATGCATCATACTATAGTATACTATAAATAGAACGTAATGATTAAAAGAGGTAATCATCAGTCCCAAAGAGCTGACAACCTAAATATTCACAGGTTTTCTGTGAACAAGTGCTATACACAACATGCTGGCTCCACAACACCAAATATCTTTTAAAAATCCATTCACTTTTACTGTATACCCACTGAAGACAGCAAAACCACTCTTTGCAACTTCATGGACTCCTTGTCGGTTTTATAACCAGCAAGCACATCCCCTTATATTCTGAAGATTCGGATTTGGTCTAGATGAGTAAGTATCACCTGCAGATCTACGGGCATGTTTCTACTGGTACTCTGTAACAGTTAGTCTTGAGGTGAGCAGAAGCTGCAGCTACAGAGGACTAAGCAGAACTAAGAAATGACACCTTCCAGCACAAAGCAAAGAAGAAATGAATGGCAAAAGACTAGGTAGACGGTAGGCTGTTTCTGCAAATAAGAAGTACTGACACACACGGGGATTATACGTGTTCCCTGTTAATTATTAAATCTGCATGTAAAATGAGCATATACCGTATTTTCTTTCTAAATTAACTTACCACAAGATGCTGTTGTAGCATCTGCGTACAAACTACACCTAAGCAGAAAACTCCAGTGCTTCACTGGAGAAAATGTACACGGTCACGAACAGTAACAGCCATGGATGTCCCTGTACGGCCAAAGGAATACAACAGCAGGTTTATGATCTGTTCTGCCAAACCACAGTCACCGTTCATCGCAAAATAAACCAAACTATCATAGCCTGAATGTTTTCAATGACATCAGTTATCACTGTTACCTTCTCTAAGATGGTGACATATACAGAAAAAGAACATTTTCAGAGAGCTGAAAGTGGCTTTCACACAAAAGCACGGTCATTGCAGGACCAGAGTTAAACAAGCACTAATACCTTCAGTGTGCAAATAGCAGGGCTGTAGAATAGGCTCCTGCACTCGTTTCAGCAGCTTTCTTGGACTGACTGTAGGCCACAGCGATGGGGCAATATGCCATCTCAACCCCCATGAGTTGAGATGATACCTCTAGTGCAGCAAGGCTTTTGCTTGCACCGGCTACATTTTCCAATCTGCTGGGTCGGCTTGCTTAAATTGTGTTGGGTTTTTTTTCACAGCTAGTGAACAATGCTAATACTACATACAATTACATTCCATGTCTACTTCAAAACAATCAAATTTGACAAGGAAGGAAAGATGATGACTTACTTCCCAGAGATGCTGAGTGTTCCTGATGGCTCCTGCTTGAACCTTCTCCGGCAAGAGCAGGACTCCCTGGAAGGGCCCAATCCAGGTGCCCTGCTGGATCCGCTGCGCGGCACAAATACCGTAGGCCAGGCCAGGCACTGTGCTGGTGCACAGACACACTTCCCGGGGCAGGTCCCGGAGCCACTCTGGGATCTCAGGTGGAGGGGCTGCTGCGGCAGCACTGCTGGTACCCACCAGACGGCGCAGGGAGTGGAGGGGCCCGTGCATGGGGCACTCGCCGTTGCGGTTATCAGCACACATGTCACATCCTGTGGGGCAAAGAGGGAAAAACACTATCAATATGGTGCTGCTGGCCACCACCATGATCACTGCCACAGGCAAGATCGTGCAGACCCCTCTACTTTTCCTATCATTTCATGGCAGCTTATACACACCGTGCCCTTTTGCATGTTGCTTAGGATGGTTTTCCTAATCTTGCCAAAGCCCTTAATAAGAAATCCCAAAGGCTGAGCAGAAACCCTGCACATGTTTTGCAAGACCTGCCAAGACTCATTTATTTTAACACAGTTTTTTAAGATTCATTTTTTGACTAATATAAATAGCCCATTTAAAGCATCCCAGTGTGTTTCGGTGAGACATTTTAAAACAGACATAATGCCTTACAAGTCCCCCTCAATTGCCTTACCACAGCTCAAGCCAAGGGTTTAATTGGAACAGGATTTAATTTCATCCTTATTTTAAATGAACATTCACTTACTTTTTACATTAACATGTGTGTGCATGCCTGTCTGTTTAGAAAATAAAATAAATAAACCAGAACCTCATAATGACAAATCGGAGCATCCATAGACATTTACTTTCTTATAGCCAAATCTAACCTTTAAATTGAAATTACGTAGCAAATATTACTGATTCCTAGCACACGTCTGAAAATTTTTATTGAACAGGAATGCATGTTCTTTGACTGTTACATGTAGCTGAGCAAAACAGCATGTCTGGTGTTGTGAGCAGCTCCCATCAGAAAGACCAGTTTGTAAAAACATTTATTTCCCTAACTGCTCCTAATAACAGATGATGTTTCTCTATTTTGGGAAGATCCTAATGTGATTTTTCTTTTTTGAGCAAAGAAAATTTTGGTTAACTGTTTCTACTGCACACTATTGCACATGCCATGAAGGTACAACTTCCAGGAAAATGTTTCATGCTTAGGAAATCCATTTCTCTGGAGGTATGCTGAGTTAACATAACAATGAATCTATTGAAATAGGTTACCATCTTCTGCACATTTCACTTTTGTGGCACAGTAAAGACTTTCATATATATTTATTCCAGAAATACGAAGGAAAAACAATAACTATGCCATAGTACTCATGTAGCAAGTCCTAGATCTTTCTCCTAATAATTTTATACAACGTACACCCATTCTTGTAAAAATAAAGCACAGTATTCACTATAGAAGCTGCAGCTTCTTGGTCTATGCCACAGATTTAGACTTGCTAGATTGCCTGTAACCACAGTTTTAATTCTCAGGGGGACTGACTCAGCTGTTCTTCTTTCCGAGATGGACGTACTACATATTATGTAGGCCTCTTTCCTACAGAGCTTTCAAAAGAAAACCTTCCTCTCAGTGAAAGCTGCTAAAGGATAATAAAAGCTGCATTTTCGAAATATGGCCTCTATTTGCATTCTGTAATTTTAGACACACTTTCTAAGCACTATTTCCTGTCATCCTCTTTTAAATCGTACCATACAAAAATGATGCATTCAGCAATATGAAAATTTTTGAAAGTTACATGTGGAAGCTAATTTCCCTCAAAATCGTTACACCTTTGAGTCTTGCAGTAAATGCATGTGCTTGGTGCTTGTCAGTTCAAGTTCTCTACCTGTAACATCGATTACAGATCTTAGCAGAAAGCAAGGAAGCAAGCCCTGAGTTGTGCATTACTCTGATGGGTGCCCCTGCAGAAGAAGGCCTGCATATGAAACTTGCCCCCTGCCATCCCTAACCTGTCAAGCAGTGTAAGGGCAGCAAGGCAGAAGGGAAGAAGAGCCCATTCAGGCAGTGCAGCACACCAGGGCAGCTGTAGGACAAAAGCCCCTAGTGGGTACCAGGCTTATACCGGCAAAAAAAAAATGCCTTTTGGCTGGAGGGTTAAAGCCTTTCCTTAACAATATAGTCACTGTTGCAAAACGACTCTTTTGTTGGGTTAAGCCGCAACTGCAGAAGGGTTTTGCTCGCTCAGCCACGTCAATTAGAGGTGGCTGGAGGATGAGATTTGCAGGACCTCAGGGAAAAGGTTTCTCGCCAGTCCTGAGAAAAGATTATTATGCAGCAAATATTCCTACAGCCATTCCCAGGCATGATGAATAAAAGGCAGCAAGTACATGCTTTTTTGTTGTTGTTGGTTTTGTTGTTGGGGGTTTTGTTGTTGTTGTTTCCACAGCTAGTTTGGAAGTGAGGTATCACTACAACATCTTTTCTTTCCTCCTTGAAACCAGTCATCAAGAAACCATGTGGTTTTGGCATATCCAAAGATCTCAGGGGCTGCATTGGAGTTTGGCATTGGAGATCATATAGGAAAGGATTTCAAACCAAAAAAAAACCAAACCCAACACCAAAGAGGTTGGCTTGTGAGTACACTTTAAACAAAACCGGCATCTAATCATGCAAGTTAGAAAGAAAACATCTGACAGGAAAACTGAGGGCTTAAAGAAAGGATGTCTAACCATGATGTCAATTAGCACCCAGGGCAGGCCCCTGAATCTGACCTGTTTGCACTGTTTGACGATCTTCTAGATGTGTAACTCTCCTCCCAACTACCTGAATATTAATGGCTTTCTTGGAGACACCGTGTCTCTGTAGCAACTTACATTAAACATGCTAAGGCATCTTCGTGACTCCACTCAGGCAATTTCAGTGTCAATCTCCTGCATCCTGCTACCAGACACGCGTAACTTTTCATGCACGCAACTTTTAGTACCTCCCTAGAACAAGGATTTCTTCAATTCATCCTGTCAATACGTGTGCATGAGTGTGGATAAAACATTTTATTTCTACCTTTTCAAGGAAAGAAATTAAGAAATTGACGAGGAGTATAAATGAACCCTGTGTCGCTGTCATTCACCCTTACAGAAAGCCACACATAGTGATATTTATTTTCCACTATCCAAAAACACTTGTAATGTCTTAATGCTTGGCAGCAGCAGTATCTGATCTCCCGCTGTGTTCCTTTCCCTTTGTCCTGCCAAAGCTGAAAATTTGGAAAATGGGACATCTTCTGAAACTGTTTTGGCTTATGGCTTGTTGATGAGAGGGAAGGAGTCTGTCTTTAATACTAAGCAGTACTGAAATTCTTCTTAATTGCATGCTTTATAGATCTCTTCTTCAGTTTTTATGCAATTGTACAAATAAAATTTTAAAAAATTCCTCATAAATGTTATAAGGAGTGGAAGCCCTACTAGACATATTTTAGCATGCCTTGAGCAAAAAGTTACCGTGCATCTTTTCCTCTTCCGTGATTAACTTTTGTGTGATGATACGTGGAAGGCTTTGACCCAAGCACACTGTCAATTATGTTATACCACCCTTTTAAAGACAGTCACTGTAAGCAGTGGATTCCTCTGCCTCAGAGGACAAGGGAAGGAAGTCCTTAATATTAGACAGGGGAAAAAGGGAGAACTTCAAGACTTGCACACTACCCTGCCTCACAGAAAGGATCAACACCATCATCTGCATTGATACTGCAAAGTAGGATGTGATACAGTGCACCAACTTGCTTAATAATAGATGGAAAAGAAGGGGTTTTTTTGAGACAGAGAGTGCTGTGGTCCACTGACATCACTAGAGTCTCCAAACTGGATGGCAACTGCTAAGACCCACATGGGTGTGGAAAGGTCGCATGGTGGGACAAGTGTGAGCTTCCCAGAGGACTGCCACACAGGGCAACACGGAGAGATGTACTGTGCCTTTCCTCCTATTTTGGCCTCAGAGAGCAGCTCTGAGTACAGGCCTCCTCCAAGGACCGCTGAATACTTCCACTGGCTGTAATAGCATCAGTCATACCCCAAATCAAGACAAGAAGCAGCAAGAAACGTGAGAAAATTGAGGGTTTTGCTGAAAATGGAAAAAGCAAGGAGGACTGCAGCCAGAGCAGAGTGTCCTCTGATAAAATCAGGAGATATAGAGGGTAAGGTCAGTGGGAATGCTCCATTGCAGGCCCAGATGCAGCCAGACTCTTTGGAAGGAGATCGGTTTCTCACTTTATACCTTCATGCTGTATAGATGGGAGGATTGAGGCAAGGAAGAAGCAAGAAAAAAAATTAAACGATTTCCTAGTGGAGCTATTTGGTATGGCTCTTTTGGGAGGAGTGCAGTATGTTATCGTTTATTTGCCTCCATAAAAATGAACACAGTGTAATGCCAGCACTATAACTCCATGAGAGTACACTTAAAAGTACTAAACCTAAGCAAAAGGGAAAGGACACATAATTTCCCCAAAAATATAATTCTAAATAACACTACATTGCATATTTTAAAGGAAATCTGAGAGGACAAAGCCTTTGTCAGTGAAAGGTAGAGTCCAACATGGTGTTTTAACCAGCAAACCAGCTGTAACAATAAATGAAAGAAATACATTTTTGTCTCTGCAATAATATGCTTCAAAGGTGCAGTTATACTGGATACCTGCAGTTTGCTGGTATTAAAGAAGGGTGGCCTCTGACCCTCTGCTTCATAATTCACGGCAAGCATGCAGGTATCCCGTGTAAGTGGCCATCATTTCACACGGTATTACTCACTTGCAAGTATAAATCACTGCGGCTGGGCCCGGGTACCCAGCTAAGAGGGAGCGTGGGCTGGGTGAGACAGTACCCTTTCGTTTCCGGAGGGCTGGCGCTTTCCTAGGGATCACGGGTTCCCCGTGCCTCAGTTTTCTCATCGACGAGCTGACATTAATCTCTTTTTGCGAAATTAACCGCAGTTTCTCGCAGACTGCCTGACTTGATGCAGGCTTTCGGTGGGGCAAAACACAGATGCGCTCTTCCCCTCGGGTTCCTTTTATTTATTTGTTTATCTATTCTAAATACTCGCTGAGGAGA